CATTCTTTTTCAATTTTATTTAAGTATTGTTAGAGAGATGGGAAGGGATGGAGAGAAACATCAGTGGGTGAGAGGCATCAATCAGTTGCCTCTTGCATGTCCCTAAATGGGGCCTGGCCTGCAACCCAGGCATGTGCCTTGACAGGGAATCCAGCCAGTGACCTTTTGGTTTGCAGTCTGGTGCTCAGTCCACTGAGTCACACCAGCCAGGACAAAATGAATCCAATTTTCAATAGAAGTTAAATTTTAAGTGCACTGTGGTGTTGCACTTTAGGGGTTACTTTTCCAGGACATCAGTAGTCTCTTCTTACCATCTGGGTTATTTTGAGATAGTGACATGTGGTTTGCTGGACATTTCAAACCAAACATGCAGAGTAGATACACAGAGGTCACTATAGGATTTTGATTTTTTTTTTTTTAGTGAGAAAACTTGGGTGCAAACCCAGGAGTTGGATAATGGCATATGTGCTAATACAGAGGATGGTGCCAGCCCAACACCAGAGTGTGAAGGTGTCACAGCATCTCTCTACCTCCTTTGTCAGTGTGCCTCTGTCCTGTCCTGTTTGCACTCCTTCCTCCTCATCCTCAATGTGGTTTGATTTCTGGAAAGCTCGTATTTAAATTCTTCTCCCTCTTCCACAATGTGAACCAAAAACCTACATCCTATTTCTAAGTGGCTTCGTTCTCACTTGACTTTCTTTTTTTCTTTTTTCATTTTAAATATATTGTATTGATTATGCTATTACAGTTGTCCCATTTCCCCCCCTTTATTCCCCTCCACTTTGCAACCCCTCTCCAACCCACATCCCCCTCCCCCCACATCCCCCTCCCGTTAGTTCATGTCCATGAGTTGTACATATAAGTTCTTTCGCTTCTGCATGTCTTATACTATTCTTCACATCCCCCTGTCTATTTTATGCCTACTATTTATGCTTCTTATTCCCTGTACCTTTTCCCCCCATATCCTACCTCCCCTTCCCACTGATAACACTCCAGGTGATCTCCAGGTCAGTGATTCTGCTCCTGTTCTAGTTGTTTGCTTAGTTCATTTTTGTTTTTTAGGTTTGGCTGTTGATAGTTGTGAGTTTGTTATCATTTTACTGCTCATAGTTTTTGATCTTCTTCTTTTCCTTAGTTAAGTCCCTTTAACATTTTGTATAATAAGGGCTTGGTGATTATGAACTCTTTTAACTTGACCTTATCTGGGAAGCACTTTATCTGCCCTTCCATTCTAAAGGTTAGTTTTGCTGGATAGCGTAATCTTGGATGTTGGTCCTTGCCTTTCAAGACTTCAAACACTTCTTTCCAGCCTCTTCTTGCCTGTAAGGTTTCTTTTGAGAAATCAGCTGATAGTATTATGAGAACTGCTTTGTAGGTAACTGTTTCCTTTTCTCTTGCTGTTTATAAGATTCTCTCCTTATCTTTAATCTTGGGTAATTATGATGTGCCTTGGTGTGTGTTTCCTTGGGTTCAACTTCGTTGGGACGCTCTGGGCTTCCAGGACTTCCTGGAAGTGTATTTCCTTTGCCAGATTAGGGAAGTTCTCCTTCATTATTTTTTCAAATATTATTTCAATTTCTTGCTCTTCCTCTTCTCCTTCTGGCACCCCTCTGATTTGCACATTGGAACATTTAAAGTTGTCCTGGAGGTTCCTAAGCCTCTCCTCATTTTTGTGAATTCTTGTTTCTTCATTCTGTTCTGACTGAATGTTTATTTCTTCCTTCTGGTCCAAACCGTTGATTTGAGTCCTGGTTTCCTTCCTGTCACTGTTGTTTCCCTGTGCATTTTCCTTTAATTCACTTTTCATAGCCTTCACCCTTCTCTATTTTGCAACCATACTCAACCACTTCTGTGATCATCCTGATTACCAGTGTTTTGAACTGTGTATCTGATAGGTTGGCTATTTCTTTGTTGCTTAGCTTTGATCTATTCTTTCACTTGGGCCATTACTTTTTGTATTGGCACACCTGTTATATAGTAAGAGGCAGAGCCTTAGATATTCGCCAGGGTGGGGCAACCCCTGTCTGTGTTGTGGCATGTGGGGGAGGGGTCCAAGAGAGAACAATGCTGCTTGCTGGGCTCTCAGCCTGCTTTCAGCCACTTTCTCTGCTACCTACCAGCAAATTGGGTGCTTCTGGTGCTGATTCCTGGGTTGGTGGATTTGTATATGTTCTAGGTCCCTGTGTGTCTCTCCAAATGAACTGTCCTGTGAGGCTGGGGGTTTCTCCTACCACTGCAACCTCCACAGGTTTTTCCAGCCAGAGGTTTTGAGGCTTTATTTCCCCATACTGGAACCCTGGGTTGCATGGTCTGTCTCGCTTCCCAGTTGTTTCTCCTGATTTATCTGAATGCAAATGTGGGACCACCCGATCCGCCAGCCACCACCTCACTGGGTTCATGAGCCACCACCTTGCTGTGGGTTCTCTCCTCCTGGGCTACCCATCTCCACCCCTCCTACCTGTCTGGATTAATGTTTCTTCTTTAACTTCTTGGTTGTTAGACATTCATACAGTCTATTTTCTGGCAGTTTTGTTTGTTTTTTGTTTTTAAATTTGTTGTTGTCCTTCTTTTGGTTGTGGGAGGAGGCACAGCGTATCTATCTATGCCTCCATCTTGGCCAGAAGTCCCTCAGTTGACTTTCATGGTTACCAGAAAGCTATCTGGTAATTAACCCCTGTTAAACTATTAGCTGGTACTAATTTAATGTGTGGCTTCTACTTAGGGGGCTTTATTTTAATATTTAATACCACAAAGCCTTAAAGACTCAAATAAATGAATTTCCCCCAGAGCCCTTGTGAAGCCCTCTGACAGGCCGGTGAGTATTTCCTGAAGGACCTTCAATTGTACCAGGCAGAGTGGCCGTCATGTCTGCTTGTGAGAGCTGCCCTTGATGGCCACATGTGTCCAGGAGACAGAAAACCCCCTCCAGCTTTTCCTCTAGTTCTTGCCAAACTTGAATAGCTCAGTAGCTCGTCCAGATTAATGACTCAGACCTTGTCACATTGTACCACTTAGGGCAGAGGCCAACACACAGAAAAAGTAACCCACTTTATATAATCCCAATACTTCCCCATCCTCCTTGCTGACTTCGCTTCTTAGGTCACTGAGAAAATAGAAGTGGTTATGACCAAACTTTCATAAGTTCCCACCTCATCTTTCACTTACCAGCAACTGTCCTCCTGTGTATTCTGCCTTTTCTCCTTACTAATGATTCATTGTGCATGTTCCTATTTAAGGTGAAGGGATCCCATCATCACTCACCTGCTCAAGGTCATCACTCCAGCAATTCACCCCTTCTGATTCACTCCCATCAGTGTACCAATATGCCATTGTTTCTCTTATTTTTGAAACAACAACAAAAACATCCTCTCTCTTGACCTTATTCCCTGCTCATGCTGCTGTCCATTTCTATTTCCCTTCACATCAAAACTCCTTGAAAAACTTACCTATACTTGCTCCTACAAATTCTTTCCTGTCATTTCCCCTCAACCTACTTCACTCAAGTTTTTGTCCCCAAGGACTCCACTAAAATTGCTCCTATCAAGTTCACCAGAGATCTCCATTATGCTCAACCCAATGGTTTATCCTCAGACTTCAAATCACTTGTCAGCCGCATTGGAGACAGTCCATCACTCCCTTCTCCTTGAAACATATCTTCACTTGGTTTCAAGAACTCCCCACCTCTGATTTTCTTCCTACTTCACTAGTTGCTCCTTCTCAAGTCCTGCTGACTTTTCTGGTCTCTCTGTCCTCTTAACAATGGGAAACCCTAAGGAAAGATCCTGGGGCTATTTTTCTTCTGAGTCTACACTCACTCCCTTGGCCATCTCATCTCTCTCACAGCTTTAAATATCATCTCTTTGTGAAATGCTGCCCGACCTTTATCTCTAGCCCAGACCTTTCTCTTGAACTCTGAATTCATTGTTTACTTCAGTGTCTAGTTGGCATATCACACTCAACCCTGATCTTCCCTTCCAAGTCCACTCTTATCTTCCCTGCCCACCTCCCCCAGTCTATTCTCAGCAGGCTAGCTAACATGATTTTATTAAAGATTAGGTAGATCACGTCATTCTTCTATTTGAAACTCTCCAGTGGCTTCTGGTCGCTCTCAGAATAAAAGTCCCAGTTTTTACCAGGACTTATGAGGCCCCACCCAATTTTCCCCAAATCACATCTTTGCCTTCTTTCCCTGAGGGCACTCACTCTGCCCCAGCCATGCTGGCCTTCCAGATGCTCAGGCTCACCCCTCAGCTCCTGCTCTCCTCTCTGCCCAGATTGCCCTTTATCTGCTTGGATTGTTCCTTTCCTCTTTCAGGTTTTGTTCAAACATTACCTTCTGATTCAGGCCTTCCTTAACCATCCTATTAAAGGGTACTGCCCCTTCCTATCTATCTTCTCTCATTTATTGTTTTCCGTGGCACTGTCTCTTTCTAACTCTAGGTTTTTCTGATTTATTATCGGTCTTTTTCACCCCCAGTATGTAAGCTCTGTGAGGAATAGGAACTGTCAGTTACCTGATGTATCCCCACTGCCCAAATCAGCACCTGGACCCGTGGTAGGTGCTCAGTACACATTTGTCAAACTTAGGATGATATATCTTTCCACGAAAGAAAATGGCCTGTGTGCAATATTAAAAACAAAAACAAAACAGTTTTCCAAAAATAGGGATCGGATCTGTGACTGAGGGTCTCTTTCTAAAGCTCTTCTTTACAAAGCTGCCGGAATGGCTGGAAGGCAGACTCCCTTCTTTGTTTGGTGGGGGAGCATTCGCTAAGTGTCCCTCACACTCCAGTCAAACCACTCACACTTACTCTTTCAGCTGAGTGTGTGAGATGACTATGCAGTGCAACATTTTTACTATTTCTTTACGGGTATTCTTTTTACTCAGTAATTATTATGCATTTTTGTTTTTCATGAAATGCCTCTTTTAGAATATGTTACTGTAAAGATTAAGTTGATGAGTGATGTGTAGCAAGAGAACAGGCTTCAAGATTGGCATATTATCATCTCACGTTTATTCTGCTTTCTAGTCACATTAAGTAACTTCACATTTAAATAAATAGTTGCAACCCACCACAACAACCCATCTTGCTTTCATCAGAGGCTGTAGCAGAAGGTGAATTCTGGAAACGCGGATGTGTTGCCACATCAGTCCACTCTCCTGCTGAGAGTGCTCACTGGCTGCTTCTAGAGAAGCAACAGCTAACTTAATGGGGCAAGAGAACAGATTTGAATAAATCTGAGGAAATAGCTGAGAATGCACCATTTCATTCTCCCAGTTCTGATGCAGAAAAGGACAAACTGCCCATATTCATCCTCCCCCCATTTAGCCAAATGAGAAATACAGAAAAATTGGCAAAATTTATTCACAATGCAGAAGTGGAGATGAATAAAACAGTGGGCAATGGTGTCTTGCCTCTCAGTTTGATGTATAAAAATATGAGTGAACTCAATTTTCTTTATTTTGCTATTTAATTTTGGGGAAGGATGAAGAGAGTCTTTTTTTATAATTATAAAACTTCAGACTTTGATGTCATTTATCACAATATTTTTTGGAATTCTGAAAATGTCTTATCAGGGGTGACCTGGGCTTTTCAGGACTTGCAAGTTGATAGAAGTTGGGTAACCGAATATCGTAGTGGTATCTTTTTCCTATGTACACCCTGTCGTTCAAGGCATAGAGTTTATCTGCAATGTCACTGCCAATTAAAACTGAAAACAGGCGGGAGATGTAACGATGCTGAGCGAAGAGCAAATACAATTTCTTTCTCCTCCAAGACACATACCGGCAATCAGTTTCTGCTGTGAGGGTTACCTAAAAAAAATAAATAAGTAAAATCACGTATAAACAAAGATCAGGGGACAAGAAAAGTTCTGCCACAATTTTTGGTGCTCCAAATTTTAAATAAATTTTCCTTCTGCTTTTTTTTAAGGTTAAAAGATCCCACTGACCCCCAAAATTCATGACTATATATAAAATTTATACCATGAACAGCCACAACATTGTGCCCATCTCAAATTTATCTGTTTTCTAAGTTCCAATATCTATGTTTTGCATTTCACTGAAGCAAGAGCTCCTTATACTAAAATATAATAAAGTTGGCTAATGTTAGAGAAGTATTTCCAAGTCAGTACTGAGGACTGTGGACATTTAACCTAATCCAGTTTCAGTAGTACAAAATAGAATTTATTTACCTATTCTGCATATGTACATGAATTTGTATTTGTAAACACACAAACATATGGTACATGTATTAATCATATGGAAACAGAATACATTATAACAGATTGAACCTACTGAACTGATTATCCTTCAAAACTACCAGACATGGGCAGCAGAGCATAGATAGGAGGCTTAGCATTTTGTTGCAAACCATCAGCATTTTAAATTTTAAAAATCACTTATTTTGTAATAAGGGCAGATTTCTTTCTTGGTGTTTTTAAACCATCACAGCAGCAGTGTTTAGGGTACAGTCAAATCTCAATGAATTATATTTTTATTCCCATATTTGGAGTTAAGAAAAAAAAATCAAGACTATTTCTCATGAACTCCTTTATGTCATATGAAACTCATTCTTCTCCTGTTGCTGGACCTATAAAGTGACATTAACCAGCCAGAGTCAGGTGGCTTTGGGAAGTCATGCATGCTGCACGGTACATTCCAGAGTTAAATATAAATTATTCCGCTGCCACCTGCTGCTGTGTTTGTTTATCTGTTCGGAAGAGGCCAGGTTCACCGTGTGCGCCTGCTATCCCTTACCTGAAAAGTGCCTTCCTCCGTGGGTCTCAGTGAGTCCCATTCAGGAGAATCCAGGAACTGGAAGGGGAAAATGTAATGCAGAAACTCGCCATCCACTGTCACTCTGATCCTACCCAAACACAAAACATAGCATTTATGAGGAAGGAGAAAGCCAACACATAATTGGGGGCAAGGGGAGGGACAATATTTCAGGTCTCTGATGACCTTTGTGGCTATAAAAATTTTGAAGGGAAAAATACTAAATTCACACATGATAATAAGTGACAAATCTCCTCTAAGATTCATGTACTGATGTTCCTCACACAGGTAAAATTCTGGCATACTGGGCAGAATTCATCAGAAAATTCATCAAGCTGTCCATTTATGATGTGTGCCCATTTATGCATGTATATTACACGTCAATAAAAAGTTTCAGTGAACTCAGATTTAAATTAAGTAGAACACTGAAGAACAAAAGATTACCACGATAAATACCTCTGTAAATTAAATACTTAACCTTTAAAGAAAACATAAATAATCACATTGTTTCCTCCCCAAGTTTTCTGTTATATATAATATATACATAATATATATTATTTATTTATATAAAATTGACCATTGAACAACATAGGTTTGAACTGTGCAAGTCCACTTATATGCAATTTTTTCAACAAATGCTGTAAATACACTTTCTCTTTCTTACAGTTTTATTAATAACAGCTTTTCTCAAGCTTACTTAATAGAAAGAATACAGTATATAATGCATATAACATGCAAAATATGTGTTAACTGATTAAATGAAGGTTAAGGCTTTTGGTCAACAACAGGCTATTGGTAAAGTTTCTGGGGAGTCAAAATTTATACACGGAGGTCTGTGTGGAGGCCAGCGTCCCTACCTCTGTGTTGTTCAAGGGTCATCTATCTATCTATCTATCTATCCAAAATGAGGTACACCCACCTTGCTTCTAGCAAATGGGCAATTGCTAGAAATTACTGAAAGAGTTGATCATTACAAAATGTAATGTTCTCTATTACTTAAAAGAATGCCCCATGAGAATCTATTTAAAATATTTTGCATGCCAGCATAAGTATTATATTAATTCAAGCTGGCATCATTCTCATAACTTTCAGTAATTAGCTTGGAAGCTAATTACTTCCAAGTAACACATAGCATATCCAGATAAATCAATTCATACATTTGATTTCTAAGTAGAAATATCAAGGCTCTAGATTATTTCTTGCTTCAGGCAAATAATACCATGTACTCTGAATGCCTACATCCATGACTCGTGTGTCAGGGGCTTTCCCACAACACAGGGTGTTAAATTCACACAGGACTATGCTACCCTGAGATAGAAATGTAGCAGAAAGGAAGAGAAGCTAGTAGCTAGAAGAAAGACATTCAAGCACCAAGAGTACAAACCTTCCTGAGATAAGCAGAGAGAGTTTATCAATGGAAGTTTTCCCCTGCATGGCATAACAGTGCTCCTTTTCCAAAGTGACCACTTCAGAGCTCAGAGCAATCGTTCTGAAGACAGGCAAAGAGATCCCCAGAGGCTGGAAAAGGGAGCTATACAACAGCTGGAATTCTCGGGCAAAGGTTATGCTGTGCACTTGGTATGCAATATGAACAAATTGCATGAAGCAGATAATAAAGAGTACAAAGTTCCAGGAAAAGATGTCAGCTGCACAGATATCTACCCAAGCCCAGACAGCAGAGCAGAGAAAACCCAACCCCAGCAAACTGAAGACATAAAGTTGTCCGAAGAATCCACTGCCACCCATGAAACCTACTACAAATAAAATACTGGCAAGGTGATAAATGGCTCCTTCAGCCTCTTGCTTCCAGGTTGTGCAGACGGGGTGTTCATCGATCAGGTTCTTCCATAAAGTTAAATTTCTTTCCATGGCTGTATTATTGTCTGGTTCACTTTCCCGTTGATGTTAGATGATATCGAAGTGAGTAATTAAGTCCTTTGCTTCTCCATCATCCAAGTTTTGCTAAATCCACCCCAAACCAGAGAAAGCCTGGACACGAGTTGTGGTGATTAAGGGTGTGGAGTGTACGGATCTTGGAAAACTAAGAATCCCATGCTGCTTCTGTAAGTTCATCTGGGCTCCTGATTTAAATGTAGTCCACTAATATTTTGTGGTTTCCTGTGCAAAAACAAAACAAAACAAAACAAAAAGTATCTAATTAAACAAGGATAATTGAGATGTATATTTAATGAATCACCAACATTACTTATTCAAGGTAAACTCCTATTCTCAATAAAGTTGTAATATTTTAAGCACCAACACTATCAAGTGTTACATTTCTAGGATACAGAAGGTATATTTCTAGAGTACACTTATTAATAATAATAAATTATTAACAGACATTTTCATATTTGTTTAGGATTAAATAACTACATATTTTTCAAGAGAGTTAAATGCTATAATCAGCTAGTTTCCATAACAGTAGTTCAATATACTTCAGAATCACTTGGGACAGTGACTAAAAGTGCAGATTCATAGATTGTTTCTCAGACATACTGACTCAGAATCTTCTCTGGTTGCGGGGGGAGGGACTACATGTTGGAATTTAGGATGAGGTACCCACATGATTTTGTGCATCAACCCAAGGCCCTCCATGGCCCACCTTTTGAGAGGTACTATTTGACAATGTCTGAATCAGAGAGGCCAAGTACTTGATCCCAGACCACTGGGCGGTGACAGAGCAGAACGGCAGCACATGAACACGTGCGCTGGGTTCCGTCCTGCGGCCTCTCCTGGAAGATGTTTTAAATGAGGCACTTTACGGAGTCCTAATAAATAAGTAAACATAAGAAACACATAACCGAAGTCAGATCTTAAGAGCACATAGTACACTGTAAAAATATTTAGTGACTTAGATAAAAATTATTTGAGAGATATAAATTCAGTTCTACTTCACCATATTAGAGGCTATTTCAGATGAAAGGTTGCATCTTATAACTAAATAAATATTGAAATTCCTTCTACTTGCATATTTATTTACCAGATGGTCAAAATGTTACCAACTTGTTTCCCTACACATATATTCTCTACCCTTTCAGCCATATGGTACAAATGCTAATATGTGATCTGAGTCACATACTCAACCATGATGAAGAGCTGTAGGGTATGTGTCATTTACCACCAGTTTTCTCAACAATAAATGTTTCACTGTGAAGCATTCATTAGATTGATTTTTTTCTCACAATTAACATTCAAAACCCTTGAACCTGTATGCTATATTTAGTGTTATTTTTGAGACAGATTATTTCCAGAACACCTATTAATAAAATATCAGGTATCACAGATTTTGTTTCACAGAAAAAAATATACACACAGAGGCGAAAATGACTGAGCTGAAGTTTAAATAAAGGAACGGTGTAATCATCAGCAGAACTAGAAACGGAAGGAAAGATGCTGCTGCTGCTGAAGTTCCTGGTTTTTCTTCCTGGGTTGGGATCCCTTTCTCAGCAAGTATGGACTTTAAGAATGCTACCAGGTGAATCATTAAAAGAAGCAATAATAATGGTAATAATAATAATAATAATAATAATGACATAGACCTATAACTTACTGTGATATTGTTTTTACTCAACTTGCTTTCAAATACATTTCAAACATTCTGCCTCACTTGAATTATCGCCTCTTCCCGACACTCTGAGACCATGACATTCAGGGCAGACTGGCCCCCAAACATGTTTAACTTCTCATCTTTTAAATAAAACACAAAATTATATATGACTGGATATTCAAGGAAAATTTTTAAAAATACAATGGGTAGTGAGAACTGTGAAATACCAGACTGCAAATGTCAATCTCCCTGCTGTTCTACTTTTAAAACTAGGGTATTTTCTATTAATCACTTCCTCAGGGTACCAAACATAGCCTCTGCTAGTGGAGCGCTGAACTTTGGTTCAAACTTCCTTAAAAATTTATAATCCTTGACAAAATGTTAAAATGATCCTAATGGGGAAAGGCCATGTAAACTGTCTGTGGCAGTTCAAAAGGGAACTTATGGATATCTTGTCCCCTAAATATCTTGACTTGGGGGATGTACTGGGTTGCATACACTCAGAGTCTGACCCTTTATGGTCACGAGAGGCAATGTGCTTCAGGTCTTTCTTTCCCAGTCAGCTTCTGTCTCAGTAAGCTGCCACCAAGCCGTCTCCTATCCTTGACACTGTCTCACTGCCCTGCTTACATTACTCCACACCCAGCCTTTCTCCACTTGGTGTGTTTTCATTCAGTCACCAAAACAGATGCACTGTATTAGAAGAGGGAGGAAGTGACAGGGGCAGGTGAGGAGCATGAGTGTCCCTTTGGTATGTGCCAGCTGTGCTAGATGAATGTTGAACATGATTTATCAACCAAGTGTGAGAGGCTTGTAGGCCTTAAGTCATGTTTTTGGGTAAATAAACACTAGAATGCCAAAGAGACACAAAGGATATAGTAAGCAACGAAATCAATCTTCCCTACAAAAGAAGTTAGCACATGGTGATACAAATGATGGAGACAAGCATAAATGCAAATAAACACAATAATTCCAAGTACCACCCCTCCCCACCTTTTCTTTTTAAATTTTAAGACCCTGAGTAGTGATATAAAGGAATAAAGAAATGTAAAGGAAGGCATAAACTTGGTGGCAAACTGATGAAGATTAATTAGCTCAGAAATTGCATTGATCTATTCAGAACTTGTACATTACCTCATTGAATCACACTTATTGTCACGCAAGAGGCAGGATCCAAATCACTGTGCCCAGCTTATACATGAGAGAAGCAGGGCACAAGACAGTAAGCCGCTTGCTTCAGGTGAAAGAGGCAGTAAGTCCCCACAGCAGGTGGAAACTCATGTCCCGCTCTGCCAAGGCCCCCAGCAGCCAAGACCCCCTTTCAAGCCTGTCAATCTGGTATTAATGTGTTGGGAGACCAAAGTGGGATATTCTGCCAGGACTGGTTTGCCAGGAAAATAATGACCCCGACACTGGATATTTAAGACCTGCTATATACACTTGTACCATTCAATCTATAATGCTTATAATACTGCCAGGGACGAAGGCACAGAAAGCCACTCAAGGAATGATTTGCTCTATAATTATTTAACATCAACTAATTTCCTCTCTTAGAATCTGAAATTCTTAAGGGACAATGAGAAATGTTTTTGTATTTCTGACCCCTGGCACCCAATGGCTGTCAATTGAATACACTGGTGTAGAGGCTCTGGATTCCCAGACTCAACCCAATTTAATGGATGGCCTAACATCTTCTGTCACTTAGGGGAACAGAAGTGGGGAAGACCCCAACATCCAAGATACTTCAGTACAAAGACACTAAGAAAGTGAGACATCACTTATTGAAAGTGTCTGGCACAACTCCATATTCATAGGGGAATCCTTTTGTCTTCTTACAACCTTGAGCTCCTTAAGTAAAGCAGCTGAATTACTGACCTGATTAAAAACTTTGGTACCTGGTGGTATTGAGTTAGTTGTAGTTGCTAGACAACCTAAAAGTTCAAAATTCTATCAATATTCTTCTCATTAATTGGAATCAGATCTGAACTTTGTTATGTGTTCCATATGTGAAACAGTCATTTACCTAAAGTTGGCTTTTTGTACTGATCCTCAGGGAGATATACTTGCTCAGCAACTATGTGCCAGGCATCTTTAAAAAGTCATCTCCCTTAACCTTCACAATAACCCTATGAGGAAGGTACTAGTATATCCATCTTACAGATGAGAAAATAGAAGCTCAGCGAAGGTAAATAAATTGTTTCAGTTCACATCGTCAGTTCACATCGTTAAGATTGGAACTAAGATTCCAACCAGGTCTGCCTGACTGAAGTTCACAGTCTGAACCACTTCATTCTGCTTCCACAGTAGCTGGTTTGAGAAAACGCAGTTTCCTCCCTGCTACTTAGAGCAGCTCAGGAATGTTTATTCATCAGTGAAACAGGCAATGTTATCTACTCTGTCCACTCTAAAGGGTCCTGGAAGATTCAAATGAGAAAATACTAAAAACTCTTGGCAAAATTTTAAGTAAACATCAGTACCATAACTGTACTGTACTCGTTGCTTGAATGTGACAGAGCTGAGCCATTCAGAGAAGATAGTTTTAAAAACTATTTTTTTCCTCCCAGAGGACTACAACTGAAGACAGAAATACAAATGGTCACTTTTGGCTGCTGTCCATCTTTAATTTAATAAATTCTAAGTTTACTCATTCCTTTGGGGTGGTCTCTGTTATTCTTCCCTACCTTGTGTCCTGACCTCCTACTATTGGTAGGTATAGACCTATAACCAACCCACCCTTGAGTCTTTACTTTCCAAATGCCAAGAAGCCAGTTATTGGAAGCCACCAACCATCTTCTAAACCTTAGCTTAGACTTCAGAACTTCCCAGCAGGTCCTTAGATCACCTGCATCAGAATCACCTGGGTGGCCCGAGGTGGCTCCATCCTGGCACTCCTGAGCCAGGAAGGGACCCAGGAAGATGAATTTCTAATGAGCTCCCAGTTGACTCTTCTGCACACTGATGTTTGAGAGCCATTATTTTTATGTTGTTCTTGAGTGGTCTCTGAATTATCATTGCTTGTTTGCAGGGCCTCCGATTTGACCACTCCTGTTGACCACTGGGCTGTCTTTCCAGGCCGATCACTCAGTGCATTGCTCCTTGCTCTCTCGTGGTCTGTCCATGGCTGTGGTACCGGGGTTAGCATACCATACTGCTGTGCACATTACTACCGAAGAGAAGGTCTCTGGTCTAGCTGTACCCCTGAATATGTGATTTTTCTATTTCTAGACCTGTTTCCTCAACGGTAAGGTGAAAAAGTTGGACAAAATAACATGAGGTCCTTTTAGCCCTAGAATAACACGACTCTATGTGGAACAGAAGGTTCTTCCAAACGTGGGTCAACACGTGGAGTGGAGTGGCAGAACAGAATGAAGACTGCAGGTCTCCACAGCAGCTTTGTCACTGGGCCAGCTCCACAGGGGGTTGAATTAATTACTGAAGGCCTGTGTCGGGGCCCGGCACTGGCACCGTTTTCCCCAAACTTACCGGGGATTTTGGTGTGCAATCAGAGTTAAGGAGTATCGAACTAAAAGACAGGAAAGGGTTAGGGTTAGGGTGAGAGACATCAGAACAT